ATCAGGTAAGAAATAAGGTATCCGATCTACCTATTTATTTTTAAATAAATGATCGGTGGCGACTCCAATCTACATTTTTCAAGTCGAAGCCCAATCCCGGGCCCAACCGAAAGACGGTTACGACACCTTCAACATATCCGGTAGCTCTTTACTAGATTTGTCATATTGAAACCTATTTTGTCATATTTTAACCTGTTATGTTGTTATGTATCGATACATGTTTATAAAATATCGATACTTTATAAGCGCTATTATTGCAATTCTTTTAAATTCTTAAAGTATCGATAATATGATACATATACTTATAAAAGTATCAATATTTTCAACATATCCGATAGTTCTTTACTGGTTTTGTCATATGGAAACCGATTTTCTTATATTTTAACATTTATGTTGTTATGTATTAATACATGTTTCTAATGTCTCTATACTTTATAGGAGTTATTATTGCAATTCTTTTAAATTCATAAAGTATCGATAATTTGATGCATATACTTAGAAAAGTATCGATACAAATTTCAACAATTCAGGTATCTCTATCGGTTTTGTAAAATTGAAACCAGTTATTTCAAACTTCAACCTGTTATATTGTTATGTATCGATACTTCTTTTCAAGGTATCGATACCTACCGACAAGTTATGTTTGTCGGTTGTCAAATATTTTAATATTTCTTCATAATTTTTACCTACAATATTATTATTACTCAATATTTTCGATAGCACTAAACCGATTTTATTAAATATTTTATTATATTTCTGGTAATGTCAAATATTAGTAGTATATTAGACCTCCTTTTCTGATAGAACCCCCAGTTGTAGGTGTAAAATTGAGTAGCCTAACCAATTGATTGACCTTTTCTAGGTAGGTTAGGCGAGTTCTGGGAATCTGCCAGTAGCATCACCCTCTTTCCATTCTACCTTGACTAATATATGTCACTGATGGATCAAGACTAAAAATTTTAATTTTCATATATCATGCGTTTGTCCGTATCATTGTGATATGGCGTAGTACAGTTTAATTAGGCATTGTAAAGCATAGATGAAAGTTGAAAAGTGTTTTTCTGGGTAAACTATACTAGAGACCACCCAACATTAGCCTCTTTTTATTTTGACCACTATTTTTAAATTCTTGTCAATCATACCACTAGCCGTTAACGTTTAATAGAAGTGATGAAATGACAGTTAATAAAATTGGTATAATTACACATTTTATCCTCAATATTTACACATTTTATCCTCGATATTTATACATTCTTTCAATTTAGTCTTAATTTAATTCAATAAATTCAATCCTCTAATCATATGACGACACGTGTCATCATATGATTGGAGAGCTATTTTAATATAATTTTAATTTATTTAATATAATATTTTTGTCTAACCAGATGGTGACATGTGTCACATCGGTTAAAGGAAAAACAAATTTCAACAAATTAAAAGAGGTAGGGTTCAAACCCATGTATTGTTACATAGAGCAATAACAACAAGCATTACCACTGAGCCAATCCTTCACTTGTGTTTAGACTTGCATAATATTGTATAAAACCTGTTGTGGCTACTGTAAAAAGAAAGAAAACTACTTATTTAGGGACTTAAATCTAAGCAAATTATACGACTATGGCACTCTAATCACAAATTAATAAAAATAAATTTAAGATTTTTTATATTTTTAGATAAAATTTAATAATTTGTCATAATTATAATTTAATGACTTTAACTTTTGCATTTGAGTTAAAAATATTTTGACTTTATTAAACAATTTTTAAATTCAAAATTCAAAATCTTTAACTTTTACTTTTGAGTTAAAGAAATAATTTTAAAAATGAAAATTTTAACTCAAAAGTTAAAGAAATATTATGCGACTCAAATCTAAAAATTAAAAATATTAAATTGTCTTAAAATGTAAAAGTCAAAATATTAATTTGTGATTAGAGTGCCCTAATCATATAATTTGCTTAGATTTAAGTCTCTAAATAAATAGTTTTTTTCTTTTCTTTTTTTGCAGTAGCCACAACAGGTTTTATACAAAATTATGTAAGCCTAATCATAAATGAAGACTTTGCTCAATGGTAACGCTTGCTTTTTCTCCTCCATGTCGTAGGATATGGGTTTGAACTCCACCCCGCTCAACTTGTTGAAATTTGATTTTTCTTTAATCTGATGGTGACACGTGTCACCATCTAGTTGGATGAAAAATGTTATATTAAATAAATTAAAATTATATTAAAAAAGCTCTCCAATCATATGATGACAAATGTCGTCATATGATTAGATGATTAAATTTATTGAATTAAATTAGGACTAAATTGAAAGAATGCATAAATATCGATGATCAAATGTGTAATTATACCAATTTTATTAACTGTTACGTCATCAATTCCGTTAAATGTTAACAGTTAGTGGTCTGATTGAATGCATTTAAATAGTTGGGTAGTCTGATTGATAAAAATTCAAAAATGGTGGTAGAAATGAAAAGGAGCTATAGTTAAGTGATCTCCGGTATAGTTTACTCTGGTCGAATGCTTTTCATGATAAAAGATATATACCACAATGGTAAGGTTCCTTTTTTATAAGAGAGCATAGAAAGAACCTTTCATTCCTACTTTTTTTTCTTTATAAAGTACAACTATATCTCTTGGAAATAATACTCGCATAGAAGAATATAAAATTTAAAGAGCTGAGGAAGATGACCCTCCTCGTCCACCGCCACCAAAATCATAGCAGTGATGTCTTGGTGCTTGCTACTTCCTGTCAAAATTGATTGGGTTTCTAAACATCTATTTACTACTCCCAACAACTTCAAGCGGATGAACTCAAACTCTCCCTATATTTCATTCTCAAATTTTCTCAAGCTTAGGCCTTTGACTTTTTCAATAACTTGAATAATATCAAATCCGATCTCGGATGAATCCGACTAAACTTTCCAAATCAAACTTATTTTGTCAGCTCTACACATTGGGTAGCATAAACTAAATTCCTCTAAATTTTAGACACCACTAAAATATGCTCTCAACGTTTGATTAAATAAACACGATTACCTATAGAAAAAGAATGCTTAAATGATTAAGCGATAGGAAGTAGTTGTTGACAAGATTAAATATATAACTAAAACCAAAATTGTCGTTAATTAAAAATAGAAGTATCATTTCTCTTGCTGTAGCTTTTGCCTTTGGTATCATCTTCATCATCGATTATGAAAGTGATCGTTCCGGTTGCTATAAAGACCAAGTCTCGTATTGTTGATGCTAACCCCGTTTCAGGTGTGATTCTTCATCTGAAAATGCGATCCACATTGTTACTATGATGATTTTTGCAAGGCCCAACAAAGAGGGCAGTAATGGAAAGCCGACAAGGAAACAAAGAAAGCAGTCCTATTAACAGAGATTGTAACCAAGCAGCTCATGCCTTAGCTAAATCAAGTTCGAATCTTAATGATTCTTGCGGATGGATTAATGTATCAACCCGGTTGTACCGACTGAAGCCATCAATGTTAAATGAAATCCTTGATTATATAGTTAATGCTTTTTGATCCTTTATCTGCTTCCAGTTCGTGTGACTCAGGGTCGTCTTATGAGTTTGTAAGTATTTTTTGGCACCTCAATGACCTTTAAAGGGAAAGTAGTTCAAAGGAACAACTTTTTGATCCTTTATCTGCTTCCCGTTCGTGTGGCTCAGGGTCGTCTTATGAGTTTGTAACTATTTTTTGGCACCTCAATGACCTTTAAAGGGAAAGTAGTTCAAAGGAACAACCTGCAATAGTAAAAGTTATGGTTGGCTATTATTAAAAGGACTATCATTCATGAACACGAAATCCATTTGGAACAAACCAATATAACTTAAAGCAAAACATAACAGGACGAGAAAACCAAATATGATCCTAAACCCTAATATAAATGTAAAATACAAGAAATAACCCTACATCTATAAAATATTGCAATTCACCTCCATATATACAACAGAGTAACAAATTAAAACTTAAGCTGGATAATCCCTCCAAGTGAAGTAACCAGAAAGTCCATGTTACTCAAAGTTATAGATTATTCAAGATGATACTTTTACTAAAAGAAACACATTCAAGAAGATGTTTGTACAGGTGCTTGGTTGCTAGCTCATAATGAAAAAGCATTCATGAGCTGTTTTGCTCAGGCACAAGAGTCGGTTGAAAAAGGATATGTGTCCAACACATGCATCCAAAATTTCTAGTTTTTCTGCTACTCATCCATTTCAAGACATCAGAGATATATGCCTAACATGAGTAATTTAGGAAATAGGATAAACCAAAACTACTTCATATGCATTCGATATAATAACAGGATCTTTGAACATAAAAAGAAAACAACTAAGAGGTGTAAGTAATTTGAGAACCAACGAAGTCAGAAAGCTAACGTGTTGCTTGTATGTTCTTCTCTACTATTCAATGGAGAGGAAATGTTTAGGTTGATGTTCAAAGACTAGCATGTTTATGTTATCACGGAGAAACTGCCCACATAAATTTGGGAAATGAAAAGGAAACTTGGATTTCAATCCCTATTGCACATTATCATTGCTAAACTCACGGTAAAAGAAAGCCTAAGAAACATGATGTCTGAGTGTTGTAAGATATTTACCTCTTCAATCCTGCATTCTTGTTCCTTCATTGCAAACTTCTTGCTCTAGCTTCTGCTAGAATAAGACATTAAGATCATTTCCACCATAGTTGGTGAAAATAATGGACCTGTAACACCAGGGCAAACCCAACATATCAATAAGCCATCTATAAGCTCATAGAAACAATGACTATTAAGGAAGGAACTAAGTATTTTCTTTTGTAATATTATATATTGTGTATTATTGTATCCTTTTTTATCATTATAAAGGATTTAGGATATTCCAGATTAGTTAGGCTACAGAAATTAAGGTAGCTTCCAGTCTAAGTTGTTTAAAAAACAAAAGGAAATTGAATTAAAAATAGAAATAGGCTACAAAGATGGGAGTCCACATCCTGTGATAAGGAAAGTGAGTTCCAAAAAATCTTGCATTCATTTTATCTTAAATGTATACCTTAGCATAGTGCATCAAAGAGTCAAGCACATACACTGTTTAAACCTTATAATTAACTTGCCAAGCTTTAACGTCTTCCAAGATGAATGTTGTTTGAGTTCTCTGTAATCAAATATCACTAAATGTAGCCTTGCTTTTCATGCTAGCAGCACTAAAAATGGATGGCCAATCCGAGTGCTAGGAAGACGACTACCTTGTATGCAAGAGAAACTTGGGATAGGCCCAAATACACAAAGTTGCAGTAGGATCACTAAGTTTCTAAACCCTAAATTATGCTAAAACCAATAGGAATCCTTATTCAGTAAGGAAACAACCTAGTTTCACAGTAACTCTAATGGAACTAAATGCCAGTAAGCCGAACATCCTGAATTTTCTTAGAGCTAGTCAGTTTCAACATTAGTATTCCATATAATAGTAGTACGAATAAAAAATCAAACAATATAACTAAACTAATTCCAAGCTCAATAAACCAACAAGCATTCGCTTACAACAACTAGGGCTGTTTATTCGGTTAAAACCGAACCGAATTAATCATAACCGAATTAAATGAATTTTTTTTTCCTTTAACCGTTAATCGAACCAAATTTTTTTTCGAAAATATTAACCGAACCGAATAAATTTCGGTTAATTCGATTAATTTTCGAATTAACTGAAATTTTTTTAAAATTTTTTAATTTATATAAAAATTAAATGTTTTTAATTCAAAAAAAAGTTTATAATTAATTTAAATAATATATAATTATAAAATAAAAATTTCAGATAAATTTTTTAATTAATTAATATTGATTTATGTTTAAAAATTATTAGACCTTAAATTATTAATTAAGTTTTAAATGGTTTGGGCTTAGCTCATATATTATATAATATATTTAATAATTTTTAATTAAAAAAAACAGTTTACAATTAATTTAAATAATATATAATTATAAAATAAACATTTTATATAATTTTTTTAATTAATTAATATTAATTTAAGTTTAAAATTATTTGATCTTAAATTATTAATTGTGTTTTAAATTGTTTGGGCTGAACCTATATGTTATATATAAAATATTTAATATTTAAAATTTAATATAAGTTAATTCAGTTAATTAATTAAATTCGAACCGAATTAATCGTTAATCGAATTTTAAAAATTTTATTAACCGTTAACAGACCGAACTAATTCGATAATCGAACTGAATTAATCGAACTAATTTAATTCGATTAATTAACCGAATTAATTCGATTATTTGAACACCTATAACAACAACAATCAAAAAAGAAAATTATGAAACGTGAAAGCATCCAAATTAGCAGTCACAATAGCGAAATCCCTAACCTTGAAAATGCTTTCATCCATTAATCAATTCTAGCGGTTGCGCTCAGCAGGCAAGGGTCGATTAAACCCGCCTCTTCGATTCATATACTGCCTGGGCTGCCTCTTAGTGACAGCCCTAACTCCACTGACATCGGCTCCGGGTACATGTTTCCCTTTGGTGGAATCAAAACCAACTGGAATCCCAAACTTCTTCATCATCTCCATCTCATCCTCCTCTCCTGCATCCCCATTCTCATTATTAAGGTTTCCTTTCTTTTGCTGCTGCTCTTTAGCTATCTCGTCCACAAAATCCGACACTGCCTTTTGCCTATCCTTCTCCCTTTCCTCGCTTTGGTGGCGGTGACGTTTCCTAGGGGGCTCAGCTGATGGTGTTCGGTGCCGGTGCCGGGGATGACGGTGAGAGGACCGTTCCGGAGAGCGCGTACGAGAACGGGAGAGTGAACGGTACCGCTCACGGTCAGGGGAACGTGTAGAAGAGCGCGTGTGACGAGATCGGGTGCGCTCCGGAGTGCGAGATCTCTTGCTGCGCGTCCGTTCCCTTTCTCTGTCTCGCTCTCGGTCGCGGTCGTGAATATCTCTGTCGCGCCTGCGTTCTCTATCACGGTCTCGGTCCCTGTCGCGGCCTGACATTGCGAAGACTAGCGGTGGCAGACGGAAGAGATGGCGTACAGTGAGCTAAGGGAATAAAAAAAAGTTGAATTAAACATTTTATCTTTTTTTAATGGAACAAAATAATTTAGGGTAAACTACATATTTGACAATCTACCTATTACTTAGTTTCTGTTTAAATTATCTAGTTATTATTATTTTTAAAATTATACACACGTTACGTTTTGGTCACCTGCTACTAAAAAATTAACGGTGCTATTGACATATCATCATAAGATATGCCACATCAAAATTGGAAAATAATTAAAATAGTATCACATCAATATCACTGTTAAATTTTTAACATTGAATGACCAAAATGAAATCAAAACGTAATGAAATTTATTTAGAAATAATAATTAAATGACTAAAATATAAACTAAATAATAGGTGGATGATCAAATAGATAATTTACCCAATAATTTAAGTAGACTTTACTTCAATGGACTTTCTTCCTTTGTCATAAAATCAATATTTTTAAAACCGGACCGGACGTTAAACCGGTGAAAGTACTGGTTCACTAGTTCAACTGAGTTCAACCGCGGTTGAATCAGTTTATATAAAATAATATTTTTTAAAAACTTTTACATAATATTCAAAGTAATATTAATATATATATATATAACACTCTTTTTAAATTCACAATATTAAAAGGTATAAAAATATCACAAATCATAACATATATAAGTTAAATATCATAATATTAAATGAAACAAAATGATTCAAATCAACTACAACATAATATTTAAGGTCAATACCTAATGAAATTCATCAACAACTAAATAAAAAAAGTACATAATTGATACAAGAATCAATCATCATAATATTCATTGAAATTGATTCCCTCAAATTCCAAAATATTGGGAAAAACTTCTTTATTAGTTGAACTACCACCGCCATCACCACTTTGAACTTGAAAGTCCACAAAATCAAGATCTTCATCACCTAGCAATATGATAAATAAATACAAAGTTAAATTTAAATTCCCAAACAATACTTAACAATTAAAAGTAAAAGTATAAAACATATTAAATAATAAATATAATTATATAACTAAAATAAACAAGCAAAGATTAACCTTCATTGTTTTTTGATGATTGACCAACTAGAATTGCATTCTCATGATAAAGAAAATTATCAATCTCATCAATATCAAGCTCAGGAGGTGTTTCTTCTTCAGTTACCCAAAAATCAACATGATCAATAGATTCATAATCAATAGGATCATAACATGGCTTCTTGAGCAACCTAAAATTAAACATCACAATATCAAGAAAGAAGTTGATTAATGATTAATTGATTATGCTTAAAAGGATAAGGGAATGAAATAATATTTTAACATTATACCTATTTTTTAAACGCAAGTTATAAGTAACATAAACTAGATCATTTAGTCTTTGATGTTCTAGTCTATTTCTTCTCTTTGTATGGATGCGTTCAAAGACACTCCAATTTCTCTCACATCCAGAAGATGAAGAAGTTTGGCTAAGAAGGCGGATTGCCAACTTTTGCAAAATTGGAGCACTACCCCCAAACAACGCCCACCATTGATCTACAAGAAATAAATTTAATGATAAAAAGAAGTATAGAACACAAGTTATACATAACTATTTAAGCATAAAAATATAAATTATAAACTAAAAAATATAAAGTAATATTTACCGGGTCGAATTGTCTTTGTTACGATAAGAGCACTTTCTCGACCAAAGCTTCCTTGTCGTTCCCGGTACATATTCATCTCACTAATGCCTTTAGTTAAGTCATTACAAAAAGCTCTTTTTTCAAGTAAAGAAATGGTTGCACTCATAACTCTGTTCTTGCTACAAAATTTCTCATCATAGAAGAATGCATGATTTAAAAAGTAAGCTGCTGCATGAAGATTGAGTTTTAAATGTTTATCCCATCGAGCCTTAATAATATTTGTGTAAGGCTTATACAAAGCTCTTCTATTTCTAAACATCTCCTTTATAGCATTTTTGCCCTTTGCATGCCTTCATAAACATAACCAAGAGAAGGCTTTTCATCCCCATCTACAATTCTTAGTAAGCGAATGATAGGAGCCACAAGTTTCGCTATCAACAAACAATCATTCCAAAACTTTTGATCCAAAACAATATCACTAACAATTTTTCCTGCTGTAGTCTTTGATAATTTATGACTAGTGAAATGCTTGTCTACAACTAAAGCTTGCAAATCATGTTTGTGATCAAAAATATTTTTCAATGTAATAAAAGTAGTAGCAAAACGAGTCACTCCTGGACGTACAATTTCTTTCCAACCTTCTCTTTTTCTCATCTAAGATAAGAATACCATGTGATTATAGACAAATACTGTAATCTTGGAAGCCTTTGAGGCAAGGTCTGCAACATGAGGCATACTAGCAAAGTCCTTTAAAAGGATATTCAAACAATGAGCGGCACAAGGAGACCAAAAAATGGTATCACATTTCTCTTGTATCAATTTACCAGCAGCTACATAATTAGCTGCATTATTAGTCACTATATGGACAACATGTTCAGCTCCAACCCATTCAACCACTTCAAAAACCAAGCCGCATAATGTCTTAGAATCTTTTATGACATCTAATGCATCAACAGATTTCACAAATACTACACCTATAGTATAATAAATGAAAAAGTTTATCAAACATATATTAAGTATTCTTCATATGACAGTTAACAGCAAACTAAAAAATAGTGAACTAATAAGTAATAAACTAGAAAGTTGATCAAAGTTCTTTATCGTTGATCAGTCCATCCATTTGCCATAATTGTACATCCACTCTTAGCCCAATTTGCTCGATAACCTTCTACAACTAAGCAACACTCTCTCTTGCAATCTCCCAACAAGTTAACCCTTAATTCATGATAAGATGGGCCTTTAAAATCGGGATCAATAACATTGATTGCATCTAAAGCAGGTTGAAAGTATGGTGATAGTGTTGCATGAAATGGAATGCAGGCATCATAAAACCAATGAGAAATTGCCATCTTAACTTTGTGAATTGCTTGCGTGCTTGATAATACACTTTTAAACTTGGTTGTGATCCTGGAGTAGTCCTTGGAGCAAAATAAATACTAATTTCAACATTAGCTTTTCTTTTCAATGTGGCTTGCATCTTACTCTTCTTATCCATATTTGAGCTAGGTTGAACTTATTGTGCTTCCTCTTCAATATTTTGACCACCATATGCTTCATTTAGGTTACCATCACCACTCTTACTTTTTTTCTTTGATTACATCCAATAACTTAAGTATTTGGTTACGAACATCATGAGGAACTTTTTTGCCAGAACTTATATTACCTGGAACCCCCGCAAGATGTTGCTTCATTCTATTTATACCCCCTCCTTTACAAGGCTTACTACAATAAAGGCAAGTGTATACATAACTTTTTCCCTCTTTTTTAAATGAAATGTGATCCCACACAGGATCACTTTTCCCACGAGTTGTACTTAAGGATTCTGTGGATTGTTTCTCAGATGGAATATCATTACTATTTTGAGAAGCATTATCTTGTACAACATTCACACTTGGTAATTCCTACATGTAATAAACATAAACTGATTAGTGATTAATAATAAATAATTGAATAATTGAGAAATTCATATGCAATTATAAATATAACGAGAAACAAAATTTGTCATAGAGGAACAATCTCACTAGCACCAATTTCAATACCCACTGTTAGAGTCATGGAGAAGCACTATAAAAAGCACCAGACCACTGACGCTCAAGAAGGAATAAAAACTTAAACAGGGATGCATAAATCAAATTTCACAGGTTCTACAAGATGGAGTTTTGAATATTTCTTCAGTTGAACACTTAAGAAAGCATGATCTAAAAGTGTAGCTCAGTGACCAACTAACAAATAGTATATAAGTTGAACCAAAAACCATGACAATTGTGGAAATAGTCATTTCTAGATCTTACGTGAATAACACAATTTAACTGCAAAACTCTGGATGTAATCTGATTAAATTCAATGCCTTTGTTCTACTAAGAAAGGATCCAACTCACAAAGCTTTTTCATACCATTAGTTTAGATAATATAAGAATTAAATTTAAGTCACACAAACATAATTCCAATCGGAACTTCAAAACTCTAAGCATGTTCCAGTAGTCATTTAAATTTTAAACTTAAAGTTAAATATATCAACTCACAGAACTCAGAAATGCTGACCAGGAAGGCAAACTCAAAGCCGCATGACAAAACAACAACATTAAACAATCAAATGGCTTTGATCTATAAAAAATAAAAAATAAAAACCCAAGAGAAACAATCAACACGTGCCAAAATTCAAAATGCTTCCCTCCCCAGGTGACTCAATCCAGTTTACCGTCAAATCACAGAAGAAATGTCTAAAAAAACTTATAGACTTGTTTCAGCGATGAACCAAATCTACTGAATCAAGCAAACCCATAAAATTGATAAACTACAAACTCAAAGATTTAAATTCAATTAAAAGATGAATTAGAAATATAAAGAAATGGGTAGCTTAAACATTACCATCTTACGAGAATAAGGAACTGGAGCACAATAAAACGCCGGTGAAGGAGTGGTGTTGAAGGGAACCAAAGTGGAAAAGCCAAAAAGGGATAGGGTTCACTGCTTAAACATTTCGTGAAAGAAAAAGAAAAACTGAAAATCGCTTAACCCTGCAAAATCAGAAAATAAATATGGGTTGAAAAAATATAAAACGACGACATTTTGTTTAAATAAAAACAAACTCAAAACTGCTTGAACCGGTTGAACCGCCGGTTCACACCGGTTTTGTCGGTTATCAGCCGGTTCTACTGATTCTGTGCACAATTGGTTTTGCATGCTGACCGGACCGGACATGTAACCGGTTCCCGGTTCAACCGGTCGAACCGGCCGGTTCGGTCCGATTTTAATAACATTGCATAGAACAATTCTCTCTAACTTTAGGCTAAAGACATATTTTGTTAAAAAATAACAAACATCTATGATACATATCTAAGACACATATTTATACAAGTACAAATTAGGTCGGACAGAGATGATTTATATATATTAGTCTTATTTCCAATTACTTAAAAAATGTATGTTCAAAGATTATATTTAAATAGTTAAAAAAATTCATATCTATACAGTACGATATCTAAGAAGCTCACAATCAAACATGTTAATTTTTGAGTTACCAAAGACATTCATGAATTTAATCAGAACCACGTCAATACAATAGTAAGAGATAATATTGTCCATTCCGTATGAAGCCAAAGCCTAGTATATTGTTTCTTAACTAAATTCATATGCTTACTTCTTTTTAATAAACTAAACCATTATTAGAATATTTTCCCATAATCATTAACACAAGAAACTAAACACAAACCATATAAAGATCGTAAAATGAAAAGGTGAAAATTGATATAAAAAAAACTCAAACAATAGGTAACTACAAACATATCTTACTCGTACGACAAACGAACCACAATAAAGAATTTAACTAAAAAAAATCAATAAACACAAATCCGTGTCAAACATTATGAAAAAAATTATGTATGAACGAAAACTGTATATTTAAACGAAAACTGCATATTCGAATCCAATTGAGATGATTTTGTAACCGTTTATATGGTTTTGTTTCTTTGATTTCACAATTACATTGAGATAACTACGCGAGAGACCCCCAATTATGATCCTATTTTAAATTGGTCCATACATTTTAAAACATTATGTATAGATCCCCAAATTATGATATATTTTAAATTAGTCCCTAAACATTAAACCATTTTGTATCAATCATCAACATCATTTCATTTTAACCATTCTGTTTACGTGCACCAAAAAGAAAGCACCATACCAATTGTTGCACCAAATGCACTTCAATGGAAAATAAAGAAAACAACCGGTCATGTAATTATGACAATTGGGCTAAAACTCTAAAAACTTGTTTTCAAAGACTTGATCACGGCAGGCTAAATGCAACCAACTATCAATACACAATAGGCAGTATTCTTTTCCTTAAAGCTAGAATGTGATACAAATAGGTAATGGATTCTCGGTAAGCATGCAATTTACAAGTGAAAATTCCTAGAATCTAATTACTTTAACATTACAGATTCAGAATAAATCCTTAATTTAGTTATACAGAAATCTGAATACACAATATCAGGCTCTCCACAATTTACTAGCTAGCTTACTGCCGCACTTAATCCGAAAATGCAGACATGAACCTTAGGCTTCCTAAGTTATACCCCCTGAAAATCAAGACAATCGGAATTACAGAAAACTATAAACAGCATGAAAACTGCAAAGATCCGGTATCAAACACTTCTTTTTGCTGCAAGATTAACTTTTTATTTCATGTTTTCTTGAAAAATTATCACCCGTAATTGTCATCGAATATGTATTACTTGATTTAAGATTCCAATTCTTCAAAGCTTTAGCTTTAATGAAAAAATTTAAACGGTGACTCGGTAATTCAGATGTCAATCTAGCATACCTCAGCTGGTGATGGAATCATGGATTCCCTGTTCAAATTTAAATGGTGACCTTAGTTCTTCCATCATTACACAAACAATTAAAAACAATTTTTTTATTGGAAAAGACAACAAGAAGATCACTACCTTGGTCTGTCTGACTTAGGAAGATGTTTGGACATAATGGATTCCTGCAATTAAACCCCATGTCACATTTATATCTATCTTAAAAATTATAACGGAAAAGATGAATAATTATGTATACATGTTAAATTAAACATTAACATATATATAAAGAAGAATTATCATGTTTCAATGAATAAAAGGACCAAAAAATTGCTTAACTGAGATCCTTGCAAATTCTGTCACAAGTTTACTTAGATATGTAGGACAAGAAATGCAGAATGCTTGATTGTTAATCTAGGAAGACATGATCACACTATGCAACTAATACACAAAATAACTCGTTAACACAGTGTTTTCTGATTGGCAAAACATGGCTACCTGTTCCTGGATTATGCTCCTCGCTTCAACAAGTTGAGCTTCAAGCTCAAGCTCCCTCTCTGTTGCTTCAGAAGTGACTTCTGCACCTTTTTGTGCATCCTGTAATTGAACCATTCGCTCCTTGAAATAAAAAGAATGAAAAAGAATTGTCAACACTTCCATCTTATTAGAGTCGATAAATGTGTAACCCAATTTAACAGAGAGAATACTTTTACAGAAGCCATCTTAGTGCGAAGACTTTCTTCTATTTGATCCCTAGCCATGTGAAAAGGAAGACCAAAGACATCCTGTAAACAATAACCTAAACAGCTTAGAAGCAGTACTTAATGCACTGGTAATCAGTAGCAATTTTCCATCATTTAAGTCATACCGTCCGCCCACCCAATGGAGATTGCGATGGATCATTTTCATGTCTATCGGTAACGGGCAAAGATTGCTTCGTCATCCCATTTGGAGCATTAAAGAAATCACGCATATCTACCTGTAACCAAAGCTGCCGTCAGAATTCATGGGTACAAACTAAATGAGGAAAACTGAATACTGGGTGCCAGAAACAAGAAACAATTTTTAAAGGTTAATTCAAATACCATACAAAAGATTATGCAATATTGGATAAAGGATATCTATAACCCCTTATGAAATTGCTATGATCCTTACAAGAATAATGATGTTACAGGGAAATGATAATTAAGACGGTTGCAGTAACATTATTTTCTTGGGATGTTTTAAGAAGATATAATACCCAACTCCTATATGAGTGACTACAGAAGCAATACTAGATCAAGGCTTGCCGATAAAATAGCATCATGATACTCTGGGTAGAGTTGAACCACCAGCATAGAATATCACCAATATATTCAAAAGGGCAGCACTCATTATTAAAATCATTGACCAACCAACCAACCAACCCTCTCATGTTTCTTCCATTCTTTTATGTTCCTTATGCTGCATACTTCCTAATTATCCATGTCCTTTCTAGATGCATCACATTAGTCTTCCCGGAGATAATATTATTTCATAAATTAATCTTCCATGCAAAGAGCCTCAAAAAATGACAATAAGCTCAACGCTTTCACCAAAAACAGGGAAAAGGAGAAAGAACTTCTGCCAGTGAGCTAACAGAAGCATCAAACTACTAAGATAACAAAGCACATATTTGCATAATTGTATTATTACTAAAAAAATGACAATAAGCTCAACGCTTTCACCAAAAACAGGAAAAAGGAGAGAGAACTTCTGTCAGTGTGCTAACATCAAACTACTAAGATAACAAAGCATGTATTTGCATAATTGTATTATCACTCTTAAACAGGTATTAACAGTTGTATAGGGCAAGTATGCTGCAGTGAGACATCTAAAATGATTTCACATCATTTGCAATAAAAAAAAAGGAAAAAAAGAAAAGAAAAAAAAAGTGAATTCAGTTTCATATGCCAAGCTATGAATCAAACCTTAAACAGATTTAATCTTTCCATGCTACAAAAGATAAGAAAAGTTATATAGCATATGGGGAAATATGGTTACTTTCCTGCATAATCCCACTGTTCTGTACAGCCAAATCTGATTAACTGAATGCAAAAAGGATAAAATAGAGCAACCATGACAATAGGAGACTGAATGTATTGAGCATATACCTGCATTGATCGCAGTAATGCTCTTAAATCGGAATTTTCCGCCTTCAGTTCTTGATTTTTTGCCTCATAAGCATCCACCTGGTAAATGACAAATTGTTAAACATAATCTAATGGATGTCATAAGAGTCATAATCAACAATCACCCTACATACAATCTTTTTATAGAAATCGTTGTCTGCTTTCTTCCCATTCCAAGTCCCACGTTGCCGCCCTTCTTTCTGTTTGCAAGTATCATAAAATTTGTTAAAGCATTAAACTTAGATTCACTTTAAGAGGTACAACTGGAACCAGCTCAATTAATACCTGAAGCAAATTCATTATTTCCATCCCTGATCTTGATTCCTTCTTTTTTTCCATTAAGACTTGGTTCAGTCTCTCCTGCAACAGAAAAAATCAGTATATTTTTTGCTTATGTTTATTAGTTTCTCTAAAATGAACAATAAATAAATAGCCAAATAAGATCCTACCTGCAACTTTATGTACTCCTTTTCCTTTTTCTTCATTTCATGTACCTGTTGAGTTCTCACTTGCTTTTGTTGTATCAACTAAAAATAATAAGAGATGATTCTATATTGAAATAAAAACAGAACGCTCCAAACAAGTGGAATATGCCTAACCTGATTACCAATCACCATCCTCTGAAATTCATCTCGTTCTTGCTGTAGCTTCTCAATCTGTGCCTTAAAAGCTGCTGAAGTTTTGGCTTCCTAAATCATACAGCACTATCATAAATTACTAAATTTAAATATGAATTAAAGCTAACTCAATTTGGCATCCTAAATCATAAAGCATTACTATAAATAAAATGTAATAAATAAGGATACAAATGAAAAGTCTCAAACCGTTCTAGTAATTGTTGCTATCTCTCTATCTTTCACTTGCAATTGTGCCTCAAGCCTCTCAACTTTTGCCTCTAATCTTGAGATATCTGATAATAATCTACATGAAAAGGGAAATGAATAATAATCTAATGCTATATTGGGGAACATGAACTTGAAAGTTCAGAATTGGATTTCACTGACTATATACATTGTGAAAATGAAATGCATACATTATTACATTTATATAAATTAGTTAATATTTGATACGATTATATTTTTAAAATGTATAAAAACATGAATTTCATATTCACACAGACACACAAATAGGTATTTCAAATTCACTCCTGATAAACATCTAACAAATCCATACATTTAGGGAAAAAATGAAATAAGCACGGATGTTATATTTACAGGTATTTCATCACATAACTTACACTACTTTGAAATCAGAGTTTATCTTTTGAAATCCAATTCCCAAATGCAACCTAAAAGAAATCATTAAATTCTGTACAGACATACAAAAAACCAGCACATAAAGACGTACCAAAGTTTATGAAGAGTATAACAGTTTCCATAAAAAAAATAAACCAGGATCAGGGGGGGAAACGCACCAATCTAAATCTCAAAATCAAGCCACACCAAAGTTTATAAGATTTCAGTTCATGAAAAGAAGTGAAGTATCATAAATGAAAGGCAAGCAACTGAGAGGCAGAAAAAATTACCAAATTCGAAATATTGAAAAGCAAATTGCAATTAAAATAAAATAAAAAAATTACCGTTGCCTTTGCTCATTAGCAGACTCTCTAAAATCAATGTCGCGCTGCCTCTGCTGCAACAATGAATATATACAATTGCAAGTCCTCGCAATCGAAACCTATCAATCACATAAAAAATAAAACAAAATCCTTAACTTTCGATCTCTAATTTTTTTTTTAAAAAAATGTAAATTGAGGAAAAGAAAAAGAGGAACACACTGGATCATCGGCAAAGAGATCGAGAGAAGCGGGAAATCCAAAAGTAACGAGTGTCTGGTTCAAGTACTTTGTACAGTGGTCCAAGTTTCCAGCATCCGCAAATGTATGCTCTCTGAAACACAACAGCACACAGAAAACACATTATTCGTAAAATGAAAAGAAAAATTTATAGAAAGGGAGAAGTTTTGGTAACTGACCGATAGAGAAGGGGAATTGAGAAGGCGGCTGTGAGAAAAGAAAAAAGAGAACGGTTTAAGCGACAAACAAAAAAGAAAGAGAGGGAAATCGAGAGTACAGAAGATTTATATCCTTACAGCTCCACCAAAGTCTGCATCAGTTGATGGCATTGCGAGAAAATGATAGCCCTTTGTCCGAGGAAGAAGATAGATCTAAAAACTGGAATCAGCGGTGCGCAATTTTGAAAATTGAATCACTTCAAAACTGGATTTCCTGTTTTCTTTTTAACTTTTTCCGGTAAAAGACGGAATAAATAAAGCTTAATACGGAAATAAGTGATTAAAGAGTTTTTCATTAAAATAAGCGTTTAAAATTTTTTCTAAGTTACCCATCTTATATCTAGATTTTTAAAAAAATATTATTTAAAAATATAATTTTTTGAAAAAATCTTTACGTGTCATGTGTTACGTATCATTTAACACTTTTTTTTAACAATAAATACTTAAAAGTGTAAACAATGAAATTTTATGCATCTATTTTTAATAAAAAATTCTTTAGACATTAAAAATTAATTTTGAGTATAGTTTAGAATATTATTTTTATATTAAGCCAATAAACAATGTTTACTAGACCCGATTCGGATCAAATATGAATAGAGATTTTTACTTTATGTATCGGTTCAGTGCGATTCAAATATATGTAAAATAATTTAGGGTAAATTATAGAAATTGTCCCTTGATTATAGGCTATTGCTTTTTTTTAGTCATTCAACTATTAAAAGTTATAAAATTGTCTCTTGACTATATGATGTTGTTTTGTTTAGTCTCTGATTATTAAAAGTTCCAAAAATTTTAACCCGACTATTCATATGTTTTAAACTTGTCAATTCTGTTAAAAAAAATTGATAGTTGTTTGAGCCGAATGCTAACTCATTGGTTGAGATATAATAAAAATATTATCCTAGAACTATTTGAGTTGTATTTTATGGATCAACTCTCTGTTTACATTATATCGTTGAACTAGTGTTTGAAACATTATATCGTTGAGCTAATGTTTGAAAGCAACGACGATGTTAGTATACATCATTAAAATACAATTTTATCATGTCTTAGTCAGTTGGTTAACGTCCAACTCAAAAGATTGTTAATTTTTAACAAAAAAAAAGGATACATTGGAACATATAAATAGTCAAGTAATCATTTTATAACTTTTAACAGTCAAGGCACTCAATAAAACAGTGTCCTATAATTAGGAGAGCATTTTATAATTTTTAATAGTCATGCATTCAATAAAACATACTATAATCAAATGACCATTTGTATACTTTACCCGATAATTTAATGTATATACTTTTATTCAAAAATAATTATGTATAACTAATAAAAAATCATGATTATATAAAATCATACTTTTTAGTTTTATTCGCTAACATATTATTGAAAAAGTTTAAAATTAAAATCAAAACTTCAGTAGATAAAATGAATAGTATTTTTCTATAAGTTTTAAGTTCTAACAACTATATCTGGAGTATATATGCATATTAACAGTGAATAATTTTTTTAAACAGATACTATTCTGGACTAAATAAAAAATCGATGTAGGTATCTTCATATATATTTTATATAACCGATGGCTGAAAATCTTATATATTATTGGGGAATTTTTATAAGCAAGATTAAATGATGATGTATGTCCCTCTGCTTAATAATTATTGTTATAAATATATGTATTAATAATCAAAGATGCATGTGACATGATTGAGGAGGAAGATTGGTTTTATTTAATTTATATATTTGGAGCCATCGATCTTTGTAAGAAACTGAAAGGCACGTATTAGAAATAAGTAATATTAAATTGATATACAAAATCGAGTTTCCTTGGCCAACATGATTTCACCCACATGTTTGTGCTTAATAATTGATCAAGGCCGGCACGGTGGGTGTGAGTGATGGTCACTTGAAATTAATACAACACATGCCCAGTTGGGACTGAGATGGAACTTGGAAGGAACTCAATCAAATCCGCTCATGGCCATTTCATGTTTAGTTTCTAATATTTAATAAAATAATTATTTTGATATATATTATTTTTGGAGTATTTTGACTCTAAACATTTTATTTTAAGACAGATTCTTAACAGTTGATATGATAGTAATTTTGACTATTGTTTTTTAGCGTTTTGACATTAAATATTTAATTTTAGGATAAAAAAGCTCTATTTTGAAGAGTTAATCGTGTGTTAACTATCAATTTCCGTCCATAGAGAGGTATTTTGCTCCATAATGAAACGTATGGGTCAAAATATTTCAAAAAAGAATAGGTCAAAATGATCATTTTAATAAACTTTGAGAGTTAATTTTGATATTATGTCTATTTTAAAATGGTTAAACTTATAAAATTTTAAAAGTGAAAATAAATTATAAATAAAGAATTACAAAATTATCTGAAGTATATGAAAAAATTGAAACTTTTAAAAGGATGATCACTCTCATCAATTTCTTTGGATCAGTGAATTATGATATATTATATTCATATCTTAACGTGACTTTAGGTTTGGCTGTTCATTATGAACCTTCTCTATCTCCTACCACCCCTCCTAACCTCAATGCTTTCAACCCAAGACTAGCTTCTCATTAATTACAATGGTAGATGGAAACAGAGTTTCTAAGTTCTCACACAACTATAGCATTTATTAAGTTTTACAACTCTAACCCTTTATAACTTCCCTCATAGGATAAGTAATAATATCGATTTGATTTAGGTTTTAATTAGGGTTTGTTTGTTTTTTGTAATTAATTTTTTGGAAAATATTTTCCTCATTTTTCAGTATTTGGTTGGCGGAAAACAGATGGTCAATGTAATTAATTTTCCTGGTCAACTTAATTCCTTTGTATTTCTGAAAAATGACTTACCATCTGATTTTCCGTAAGTCATTTTATAAACTTTTCGTTTCAAATCATAAACACTCAAATTATTATTATTTTATATATGTAATATTAATATATTATTTTAATATCATTTTAATAAAAATATTAATTACTAAATTATATTATTGCTTTTTTTATTATGCTAAGGTGATTACAAAATAATATCTATTCTAAATACTCTTAACCATTTGACTATGAACTCTCAACCACCTTGCTACAACCGCTAGTGCTCGAACCCATGACCTCTAGGATTAACACAATTTCTTTAACCACTGAAGTAAGTTGGTTCATGCTTGTTGAGTTAATCGATCGATGGAATCGGCCAAGAGGGGGGTGAATTGGCAATTTAAAAAATGGTGGAAGCTTTTTGCAGAAAATTGAAAAAGTTGCACAACGATTTAGAGTGGTTCGACTTTCTCAACCAAAGTCTATGTCCACTACCTTAGCTATCCACACTAAGGATTTTCCAACAAATTCACTAATTTGTTCTTTCTTTTGAGGACAAAGAGTAACCTTACAACTCCCTCAAGAATTATACCCCAATTCTTGAGCACACTCTTTTTCAAAGAGAAATACACAAATTTGCAAACTTACAAGGAAAACCTCACAAGCCAATATATTTGCACAATTCTAGAACAAGATAAGAACACTCAAAGATAATTATAAATGAGCACAAATTGTGTTCTTGAAAGCAAAATGAATATTGAAAGGAAATTTGGCTTGAATTGCACAAACTTGATGTTTGATGCTTCTCTCTTGTTTCTCTATGATTTCTTCTTGATTGTTGTTGATCAATGGCTTCAGAACTTGGTTAAATACTCCTTCAAATGATTCTGAACGTTGGGGATGGTTAGTGGAGTCAATATAGCCGTTTAAGTGTGAAAACAATTAATAAAATCAGTTGGGAGAGTCAGTGCATCGATGCATATGCATCGGTGCATCGGTGCATCAAGTGTAAAATTCAAATATTTTGACCGTTGGAACCTTAGTGCATCGGTGCACTAAGAGTGCATTGATGCATGAAAGGCATTCGATGTTTCAAAATAACCAGAGTGCATCGATGCATGGCTGGTGCATCGATGCATCAAATGCATTCGATGTTTTCATAAAACTCTGAGTGCATCGATGCATAGTATGTGCATCGATGCATGAAATGCATTCGATGTTCAATTTATTCCATGGTGCATCGATACATGGATTGGTGCATCGGTGCATCACTTTGAAAAATTGATTTTAGGCTTGATTTTGGTTTAAAATACTTTGTGAAAATTGTTTAAAAAATATATTAAGTATAAAACACAATTTTACACATTTAGTAAGGTTTGAAATTGATCTTGAAGACTTGGAGTAATAATTTAATATTCGAGTAATTAAATCAAATATACTTAGAAAATCATTTGTAAAATCTTAAAATTCATTTATACTTAATTTGTTATATCGAAACATCAAAATGTTTTCAACTATCACCCCTTTTTGATATAACAAAACATGTGTGTAATTTTAAGATTTTCTTTGAAAATAAATTTTGAAAAATTAAGTTTGAAATTACTCCCCCTTACTTTAACACTTCTCCCCTTTAAAACATTTTAACACTTTAACATTTCTCCCCTTTTTTGTTAAATCAAAAAGACTTAAAAATCTATTTAAATAAGGTTTTGAAAAACATAGCCAATTGATATATATATATATAGCTTAAGCTGCTAAGATTAAAGATTAAAAGAGAGATTAGCCATTAGTTTCATAATCAATATTCATAATCAAATGTGAAATGGCATAATTGGTCATAATGAACTAATATGATGAAAAAATTAAGAAACATTAAGCTCAAAATAATAAAGTTAAAATCAAACCAAATATATATAATAAGTTCAGTCACCCAAGCATCCAAAACATAACTCCTAACAAATTCAAACATTTAAGGATCCAAAATAAACAATCCAGAAACATCAAAATCAATCCAAGTTTTAGAAAACCAAGAAAGCATAACAAGGAAACAAATCTACTCCATCGGAGGATCGGGAGGAGGAGGATAATGAGCTTAAACTTCAAGAGTGAGAGCGCCTATTCGTTCACGCATCTCCTGCTGAAACTCAGTAATCTGAGACTCCATGGAGGCAAACCTCATATCAAATGACTCTAAGAAAGATCAAAAAATATGGTGGCGTTTGATCTTCTTGTCGTGCTGATTCCGGTGCAGGCTCATCGTCTGGTACGTGATCGTCAATATCTTGCATGAGCTGCTGAAATTCTGGATCATCGTCAGCAGTCGGTGCCGGAGGAGGAGGAGGAGCACGAGAAGAGCTAGGAGCAGCTCGTGAAGA